AGCAAAAGAACATGCTCCCTGTATTCTCAAAATTAATTCCTCAGATAATCATTGGAACATCAAAAGTCTTCCATCACTGAATAAAACTTTGAAGCATCCAGATCTAGAAACACAGGATCATGCCATTGGTTGTGCAGGATACGAAAACCCTCATCAAGGAGAAGCATCTTGCTTTAGTTACATTAATTGCAGATCAGCTTTGCAAAAGAACATGCTCCCTGTATTCTCAAAATTAATTCCTCAGATAATCATTGGAACATCAAAAGTCTTCCATCACTGAATAAAACTTTGAAGCATCCAGATCTAGAAACACAGGATCATGCCATTGGTTGTGCAGGATACGAAAACCCTCATCAAGGAGAAGCATCTTGCTTTAGTTACATTAATTGCAGATCAGCTTTTACATCCATATGGTGACATTCACTTGTGTGAATAGGTCCAATGCAAGATTCTCAACACTGTTTGAATTCCTAGCTGGCGGCTGTCAGGGGAGGTGCTGCTAGCCAAGTGGCTGCACATGAGTATCTGTACCACTCGTGCACGTTATAAATTAAATCCACACCAGCTCAGCCAGCATAGAGGGCTACGCATTGAAGCAGAAAATTGGAGCATCAAGAGATCTGTTACACAATTCTAGTTGCCCCAGTAGGCTGTGTACATAGAAGAGAACGTCTATGTCTACACTGCGAGGTTTTTGCGCAAAAGTGGCCGTTTTTGCTCAAAAAACTGTGGAGCGTCCACACCTCAAATGTGCTTTTGCACAAGTAAATTAGCAGTTAAATGGCAGAACAGAGGGCTTTTCCCGGTGTAGGTAAACCTCCTTCTACGGGGCATAACTCCCTTTTGCACTACAGCTATTGCGCAAAAAGGCAAGTGTGGACACTCCAGAGGGGTTTCTTGTGCAAGAAACCCATATGGGAAAAAACACAGGTGCTCTGATGGCCATGCAGTGTGTACGCTCTCTTGCACAAAAGCACATAACTTTTGCAATGTGCTTTGAGGTGTAGACGTGCTCTTGCGCAAGAAGTTTTTGTGCAAAAACTCTTGTGCAAAAGGCTTCTTGTGCAAGAAGCCGGCAGTGTAGACATAGCCAAGGTGTCAGGCCATTACTCATACCCACCAGAACTGGAAGAACAGCCCAAAATTCTGTCCTGTTCTGTGGGATTGGATTTCATCCTCTGCAATTTCACCTGCTCGAATAGTTGAGATTTGCATTGATGTGTAGTAGGTTTCATCTTTAAGCCTAAGTTGTAACCCGGAGAATTGGGTGGCTTTTTGTTTTCTTGTTACTGCAGCACATGAAGATTTTGTTTGAAAAGTTTGTGTGTGTGTTTTAAAATGTCTTTCCCTTTTAAAAGTTCTCCTAAATGTTTAGCAGGCAAGCTACAATCAGAGAGACAACGAAAGCTATGTAAGAACTGATGAGGAGGAGAGCTGCATTCGAACAGATGATGAAGAAAATCTGGCTGCAAACTTCACAGAAGAATGGAACCAACAAGTGCAGCATCTCTTGACAAAAAAATCAAATGACTAACAAAGTTCCGAGGACTGTAGCACAGTACTTTTGTTCTAAAAGTTGTAGTTTGTAGGTGTGTGTTTTGAGAAAAAGACTTTTGTTTAAAGCTAACTTATATTAGCTACATATTCTGTAACATGGCTCATTACCGATGAAGAAAGCAGGCTGAAATGTGCACTGCTGTTACAAATAATAGCAGTATCCACAAAACATGTAAACCCTTTGCACATGATGTTGAACCTGTTCAGTTTACAATTACAATATTAATACTGTTTATAGATTGCAATTTGATTTCTGAATACTTCAAGATTTTAGTAGAACAGTTTACTATACACTGTACATTTTTCTTTCACAAAAGAAATAAAAAAGCTACAATTATGCATTTAACAGTGAATAATTATAATCCTGAGTGTATATATTTAGTAGCCCAAAAGCAAAGTACCACACTATGTTTGCAATTTGTTTAAAAGTCTTTAACATAAAAGACTTGCACAAAATGCACTATCCCCTCCCCCCCTCGAAATTTAGGGCTAACATGTAATTTAGGAATGTTTTCTTTCAAAGTAATCGAACAAATCAGCCATAGAAGTTAGTGTAAATACTTTTTTCCAAATAGATATCATATACAAAAGGCAACATTCAAATTATATAGAATCTAGTTTTTAAATCAGCACAGATCTTCTTAAAACTGTGAACTATGTTTTGAAATACTCGTTACTAAAGCTGTTTATAAACCACAGGTGCCATAAGATCCCTCAACTGACTGAAGTCATGATTAATCTTCCATGGTATTGTTTCATTGATGTTTTAGCTTTAGTAAACATGTGTTCAACAAATCGGCTCTTTCTATTTTTTCCCCACTCCATCATGTTATTTTTGAGGCCTTCAGCTTTAAATATCTAGGCTTAAAGTGTGCTTGCAACTGTTTCCTTTCATTTCCAAATGTGTATTGCCTTAGCCATCCACCAGATGTTCTGCATGCGTTCTTGGAAATGTGTAGTGAGACTTACAGAGCTGAATGGAGACATAGCAATCAGTGAAATGCACAAGGAAAATAGAGCTGTTGTTTTCGAAAGACTAGGCATAGGGTTATGGAATTATTGTCTCTTCTAGTAACTCTTAACTGTTTATCTTACTCATGGGAGAATTATGAGAGAAAGTGGGCCTTTTCCATCCTGCAGGATAACAAAATGAACATGTTAGCTGTTGAGTACTTGCCTTGCCATTATTGTTATCCTACATGTTGTTCTGGTCAGAATTTGAAGTGAAATAGCTGGCAATATCTCACACACAGGATATTACTTAAGAATGTAGTGACAATGTCCAGCAGCCCTAAAAATTCTAGGGTTTCATACAAATAGGGCCGCACCTGGAACCGACTGCCTTCACTGAGTGATCAGGTACTGATGTGAAACAGGCTGCAGCAAGTCTGTCTAACCTCTGTTTCATGATAACATTTTAGGATGTGTCCTGGATTGCTCCATAGCTTGTCCCAATAAATTCACTCACCGTGTGTACACACTCCTTAGTCTTGTGACTATTTCACTGAGATTGAGTGCTAGGTATAGAACATCTGTCAGAAAGAGTTACTCCTGGTTTGTTTGTTTTTTACTTTCATACAGTGTGAGTGCTTATGCAGACCTTTTGCTCACATCTTCTGGTATATCTGACCGTGGCCTCAGATAGCCAAACTGATACTTCATTTAGACTTCCCCCACTCCTCCCAATCACACGTCATTGCTCTTGTGGTATATGCCAGACTAAAAAGGTAGGCACCATACCTATGCTGGCATACACCTGCTACGGCCTCTTCTCAGGAATGTACCTAGTACCTAGCACTCAACACTGAAAACTACTGCGGTGAAGTTACGGCCAATGTTGTCATTTTAGGATTATAGTCAAACATTTCCTGAATACAAAGTGAGCTAACAGAAAACTACATGCCATGACTGACTCATTCAACATTTAACTGCCTCTGGATTAACAGCTACCTTACATAACTCTCATGTCTATGGACACATCGTTATGCTGAAAGTAAGTGCAATAGCATAAATCCATTGCCAGGGATCCAGGATTACAAACCAAGCAGCTTTCTCTCAGCCTGGTGTTCGCAAGGCAATCCCAAACAGAGTTCTAGGTGACCTCTTCTACTTTAGAACCCTGAGATGAAGCACTTTTTATTTGGCTCTCCAAATCTCTAATTTAAGCTTTTTTGTTTCCAATGGTAAAGCTGGCTACGTTTCAGCCCAGCTGGTCTTTGATTATTTGTCAGGTATTATATTGGTTCTGGTGTATGGTCATTAAACAAACTTAAATTAAATTAATGGAGATTGCCTATCTCCTAGAACTGGAAGGGACCTTGAAAGATCATTGAATCCAGTCCCCTGCCTTGCAGGACCAAGTACCATCCCTGACAAATTTTTGTTTCAAATGGCCTCTGCAAGGATTGAACTCACAACTCTGGGTTTAGCAGGCCAATGTTCAGGTACCATTGAGCTATCCCTCCCCCCAAAAGCAAACTTCCAGAAATGGTCCCCAATACAGGCCTTTTCTAATTACAAAAGGCCAACTACAGTAGTCAATATTCCCTGAGTGGTTGACTGGAATGGAAGGACTACTCAGTAGTTTACAATCAGGAAACAGGGATGTGGAGACAAATAGGGTTCTTGAATGTTGAAAGTTGAAGAGGAGAATAGGTTATCTGTACGTAGTAATGTTAACTAGCCTGCATAATACGGTGTGTGGCCTTTGTTGTGATATAATATGTATTTTCTTATATGCATGAGCCAAATTGTTGAATCATTATTTAGCACAGGTGTCTGCCTTTACTTTTAGTCATCTTCACCCATCTTTATTAGTTCTTGGCAGTTATTGTAGATAGACCTTGTAAATATTGCAACCTCAGGTTGCTGCAATCACATTGGTTCAATTCAGCAGAAGGAGCCATGAACAACAAGCACTCCACTGTGTCCTAAAGCGAGAGGGCATTTTTATCTTTGAACCAAAAAATGTATGAAGAGTTAAATCTTGAGGCTAACAACTGTAAGATGTTTTTAAACTACTGTACTTGACACCACTTGAGACAGATATAGAGACACTAATGATTTCACACTATTCATTCATATTGTAACAGAACTACTATTGTATGGGTTTTTTGTATTGCTGTTATGTATTGTTTTGTGTATGTGTGTGTTGGAACCTACTGGGGACATGTTATATTTTGAAGTGATTAATCTATTTAATTGTGTGTCTATATTTTGGAATGGAATTATTTCTTCATTAAAAAGGATTTTTAAAAGTAATTTACCAGGCCTCATTTTTGCTATCATATAGTTTCAAGAGACCTGATACTTGAAAGGCAGCAGCAGATTGGAGACTGACTGCGGTATCAACACTAACTCCATCTTGCTAAAGCTGATTTGCCCTTAATTCCCAGGTCTGGCTGGAAATGTTCTTCAAACAAAACCAATCACTTTACATTGTAAATGTGCTAGAGTAGCTGAATTTTACCCCATGTATATACACACATTTATATATCCCATGTATAATCCCGCATGTGTTTCAATTCTACTGTTTTTGCTTCACAGCCCACATTTGAACCATTGTAATTTGGAAGGTGTGGTGCCTGGAGAATTCAACTTTTAGGCAAAAGCTGTTTATCCTATTTGCTTCTCAGTTTTCCATGCACACCATGCCCAATGAAAGGCCAGATTCACACTGGAAACTAAATCCCAATTGTGAATACAAATTGAGTCTCCTTTTAGACCCTGAAAGAAGGAACTCCTTAACCATGGCAGCCTTGTAATGTGACTGAAAATGTCTAGAAGCCTCTGGTACATTCAGCAGCCTGTTCATCTAAGAGCATGTGTCCCGCTTACGTCAGATGCTTGTTACTTAGCAGGTCCATATTCCATTTGAAACATGGGTGTTTGCTCTCTATGCAGAGTGTTTGAGCACAATAAGATTATCAGCGAGAGGAACTTGTTTGTACCCAAAAGGTTTGAAAAAAAGCCCTGCCTCTATTGTTCCAGATAGAAGCAGGAACTGAAGGGTTTTATGTATTTGGGGATCACTTTAGCTAAATGCCCAGATAATCCATAGATTAAAGCCTTCCCTTGTCTTTGTATGAATAATTGCCATGCATTGGTTGTATGGGGATTAGCATGGATAGGCTATAGTGCAACCGCAACAGAACTCTTCATCTTGTCTGCAACAGAAAATGCCACAGGCATTAGAATTCTTGATGCCCATTTGTGTTATTTGAGAGTCGGAAACTAAAGATACTTTTTTGGGAATTGCCCAGCGAGGGTCAGACTCTTGGCTATGCATGTTTTCGGGCCGAGGAGTTTGGAGCCTTACAGATAGCAGTGTCCATTGGGAGCGGCTGTCCGCCCATGCAGATGTCCAAGGCCCCAATCTCCTTTTATTTCTAGCTGACTGCTCAAGGTGCAGTGCAATCTGTGCTTGCTCAGTGTCCACTCAGCTTCCCGCATGATTTTTTTCTGAGGTGTTCATTACATTTTATATGTTGGTAGCTCATCAATCAGTTTTTCATTAAAAAAATGTGTTAAGCCATTCCAGTCATGCCTATGGTGGATGCAAATGAGGAAAAGCAGCCACAATTGAGCATAACATATTGTGACCCAAGAGCCCATATTCCGCATCATCTGGCACCCAGCACTCTTGAACTGCTTCACCCTTACGTTGGACTGATTCTTTTCCGCCCATAGTTGGTGGATCTGCAAAGATATACTGGCTAAAGTATTTGTCCCACATAAGTGATTCTGATCAATGGAGAACAGTGCCTCCTTTTGGAATCCTGCCTCCCATTCACTGCCTCCTGCTACCATCATCCTGCCTTTTCACTCCCCTCACATAATCCTCTCATCCGCCTGCTATTTCCCATTCACTGCCCCTCAGTGTCCTCCTCCCTGCCCCCACTCACTGCCCCTTTCTTCTCTCCCTGGTCACCCTTCTTGCTGCTGAAAAGGCAGAAAACTGATGCACTGACAGATCCTTACCATCCTGACTGGCAGGGAGCTTGCTTCTCTTCGCCTGCTCCTCCTTTTGCCTCAGGGCCAAGAACACAGTTACCAGGGAGCCGGAGAGATGCTTCCTTATCACAGTATTCTCCTATAACTCAGAAAGTTAGTGCTGGGCTTTGAGATGACATCTGGCCTGGTCTATGAGGAGCTGAGAGCAAGCAACCACGAAACAGTGAAGGAGATGACTGTTCAAAGATACAAAGTTCTCAGATATGAGTGGTCACGGGAGAAGGGCCAAAAATTGATGGGATGGTGGAGAACAAGGAAAGGGATCTAAGAATTGCTAGAAAGGAAGAATGGAACTGAGAGGGTGGATGAAGGCTGTAATGAAATGGGAAAATGGGTGTTTATTATTAGAATAGAAGAATTATTATTGAGCTGGCACATGAGCTGAGTTACAGAGATTTGGAGAAGGGAATGATGTGTTGCCCTAATTACTTGGGAGATATTTTGTATGGTACTCACCTGAAGAGAGGATGAGAAGGGAGCAAGGGGCAGAATACTGATGTATTATATTTAGAAAGAGAAGGGGGGGCCAAGAATTGAATTGTTTGGGAGAGAAAGAACCTAGAATTGATTGATTTGGGTACAAGGATTAAGACTTGGTGAATTAGATGAGATGAGGGGTTGAGAACTGATGAATTGTTGAGGGAAGGGATGTAGTGGTCTAGGGCAGGGGACCAGGGCTTGGAGTTTGAGATTGTGGACAGAACCAGAAAATGGATTGTATGAAACAAAAAATTGAGGCAAGGAAATGGAGAAAGGATGGACTGGGTAGATAAATAAAATAGTCTTAATGGAGGCGAGTCAGTGGACTGTAGCTGTGTGGTATATAAGTTTGAAAGCAAGATGATAAAGCAAGAGAGAGAAAGAAAGATTGAAAAAACATGAATGGGGAAAGAGAATGTTTGTTTTTGTGCATTTGGGTGGGAAATACATGAGGGCTTCTGTGGCCCTCTGCTTCTGGTCCTCAATGCTAGCATGCCATTTGCTGATTTTATATAGCATAATTTACCACTGAAATTTATTCTGATAAAATTCCAGTTAAATTCCCAGAAGACTTGCTTTTTGCAACATTTGAGAACAGCTAGGCAGCTGGTATACTGGGATAGCTGCATATTATGCTAATTGCAAACCATTATCTTGTGCTGCCTTGTCTGTTTGGTGTATCCACTGTTTGTCTCTCCTCATACAATTAGGCTATGTCTACACTGGTGGCTTCTTGTGCAAGAACAGCTGTTCTTATGGAAAAACTTGCCGGATGTCTACACTGCATGAGTGTTCTTGCACAAGTAAATTTACTATCTAGCATCGGAAAACAGGGCTTCTTCTGGGAGAGTTATTCCTCTCCCCACGAGGAATAGGCCCTCTTGCGCAAGAGGGCAGTGTAAACAGGCAACATTAATTTCTTGTGCAAGAAACCTCTATGGTTAAATGGCCATCAGAGCTTTCTTGTGCAAGAGAGCGTCCACACTGCCATAGACGCTCTTGTGCAAAAGCACATGCCAGTGTAGACGCGCTTTCGTGGAAGACTTTTTGAGCAAGAACTCTTCTGCAAAACAGTTCTTGTGCAAGAAGCTGCCAGTGTAGACGTAGCCTTAGACTGCATGCTCTGTGAGGCAGGGACCATGTATACGTGTATGTTCAGTGCTTGGCACTGTGGTGCTTGATATCACATTGGTACTTCTGCATGCTACCATGAGGCAAATATTGAATAATGTTGCAAATAATATATTTGTTTTTAAATGCTTTACCATTGGAAAGTGTGAGAAATTGCAGCTGGAATTTCAACACTTTAATTTTTGTTATACAATTATTCAGAGCCTATCCCATTTCTGATTGGTGAGCTAGAGTCAGGACACTTCTGCTTTCTCCTTTGCATTCCCACACTTCAGAATCCTTATAGAAAGTTGTTTATTGGGTCATTCACCTCCCCCTCCACACACACACACACACCTACTGTTGTTAGGTCAAGCTACATTGATACTTTTTGTTCTTTTAATATTGCCTGTTAAATTAGTCCCTGACACCGCTTAATTTTTGTTCTCTGCACTCTCTCCAAATCTGCTTTGCAGTACAGTGTGACTGTGTTTAGACACGCATCTGCTGAACTGCAGAACAATCAGCTCTCATGATTGTGCATTTCTGAACTTGGAGTGGGTCTCCTTACAGTTTGACAACCGCACATGCACACAGAAGTGGACTATACTTAGAATTGAAGACAGTACCCTATGGCAATCTCTGAAGAGCATCAAAATGTCACTTTTAAATGGCTCTCACTGTATACATGCTGCACCATTATTAATTGCACCGCAAACACATGTGTGTTTGTTCTCTTCTAATTTGCTTTCAGAGCCCAACCCTTCATGCAACTTGAAGTCCCTGAGCAGACAGGCTTTTAAAGTCTTGTTTGTTTTTATTGAAAGGCCCTTGTTATAGCTGGTGCAAAAAATAATTAACACTCCAGGGGACTGTGCTTCTAGGGACTCATCACTCCACTTCTTGCTAGCCACATGTTTCTTTGAGGAAAACTAAGCAGAAAGACAAATTTTAAAATTATACTTCAGGTTTTGAGTTCTACAAATGCACCAATAACAAAAGATATTGCGGAATTATTTTCTAGCCTCACTGTTGGGAGACAGCTATGCAGGAAGGTTGAAAAGCTAAGGTTTTCTTTTTACCACACCTCACAATGTTATTTCTGAGACACAAGATGTTATACTCCATTGTGGATTTTTTTTCTACATCTCCATCCCAAAGGAAAAGACTAGAGTGGCTAAAAACAAAACACATGAGATCAATACTAAACTAGATATTCACAGGCCAGCTACAACTTTCTTTGTGAAATCATTTGTCATTCATCATCATATGCTATGTGGTATGCAACAGATATGCATTCTCCCTTATGTTAATATTGTGTGAGAAGAGTGGGGGTTTTCCTAGAGATTAGGAATCGGGTTCATCCTAGATGCAGTGCCATTGACTACTACAGTGACGAGCAGCAGGGAGAAGTTCACCCTAGTACAGCCCTTGAGTTGATAACAGAACTGCATTTATTCAACCCTGTAATAAGCACTTGCTGAGTAACCACAGCACACTTCCCCCCATAGCTAATACCATTATTGATAGGGACTGATGTTCCTGTCTTGGTCACCTAACAGGTAGAATGGGAAATGAATTACATGTTGAGGAAAGTGTGACTTAGACTAATTTTATGATGAAGTTTTACATTAGGTTATATTGTACT